TTACAATAGAAAATAGCGCATAATGGAATAAAATATAATTTGAGTCACACTTACTTATAATTTAAGTAAAAATAATAGGTATCTGATGCCATTAAATGTTTATTGAATGTTTTCATATGGCTTTATTTTTTTAATATTCCTTTATTTGTATAAATTAATGCACTATGGAAATTGACACACTAGACTCTTTCTAACAGAAATGACGAAAAAGTACATATACTATTTTCATGTAAACACACTTTCTTGCAAAACAGTTATCGTACTTTTAACAGTTTAAATTGACTCTTTAACAAAATACAAATAAAATATTAATCAGATCAGTAGGTTATTTAAAATACATTCCACACAATTCCCCTTAGCTTTCATTCATAAAATAAAAAATTATCGAATGAAATAAACGCTGTTTCTCCTCGCTTTACTAAAAGCCTACCCAAAAAAAAAAAAAAAAAAAGGTAAACAGGAATGAGTACAACAACAGACTGGTAGACTGCATGCTCAGCGGAGAGTGTAAAAACCTAATTGGCTTTGCCTAAAAAAAAAGCCTAAAAAACCGTTCAGGTGTTTTTTTTTTTCTTTTCTTTCCTTTTTTTTTTTTTTTTTTTTTTTTTTTTTTTTGTTTGTTTTGTTTGTTTGTTTTTGAATACTGTAAACTTTATAGGGCCCCCCAAGAAAATGTTTTGTATAGGGGCCCAAAAGTGCTAGTTATGCCAATGACCATGACTATTACAACAGAAAATTTACAGAACTTGTAAATACAAAATTTTAATATTTATAAACCAGTTACGTAACACTAAATCCACATCAATGAAAATTATATATTTTAGATAAATAATTCTATGCTGAAGGATATTATACAGTTTAGAAATTAATATCCCGTTTTAGGTAAATAATTTGATCAGAAAGAAATAACTCAAGGCAACAAATTTATTTGAAGAGAAAGATAAGGTGATGTAAAAACTTTAGTTATTTTTCAGTTTTCAATAACTGATAATAACAGTAATTATAGATATTCTGTCAATTTTTAAAATACAGGATATTATTCAGTCATGTACATTTCAAACAGTTTTTTTCTGACTAACTTTTCTATAAAAGAAACAGAAATTAAACAGAAAACAGATTTTACAGAAAATCTAACTTGTATAGGTACATTAATAAATCCAAGCAATGCTGAAAATATGATGTTCCATTCAGAAAGTATCAGACTTTACTTTTTCCTATGGAAATTAGCAAAGTACAAGATGAAGCATCCAGTTGGAGGTGTTAGGCACTTTCACGCACCGACATGAGTTTTCATCTGTTTGCATCAACTAAGAATTAGTGGTCAAGAGGAAGATAAATATTGGTTTGGTATTTTTAAAAAATTTTATTTTGTTTCATTTTGAAGGAAGATTTGACTACGTATGTAAATTTGAATTGACACTGCTAATGATCGAGCATATGTACATCTACATGGAAATCATACAAGACATGCTGGCATGTCCTGTATGACAATCAGAGCAATTTAGCAATTTTGTCATACCCACAAACTTGTAATTTGTCACTGGAATTACTAGTGACGAATATATAGTGACAGAGTGAATATACAGATAACTAACATATAGTACTCACAATGACCATGTCTGTCATTCTCTAGACTTTAAAAGAAAAAGCATGATAAATATAAACAGGGTTCATAGCCACATTTTAGTTAAAAAAATAAACACCTATAAGCACTTTTCAAGCACATTTTAAGGAAAAAATAAGCACCTGTCTAATTACATTATACACAACTGCATAACCTTAAAAGAAAAATTAGACTTGTAATTTAAAATATGAGCAATGCAATATTTATTATGAGAATTAGCATTACCTCAACAATGGAAAACAACTTTTTTTTTTTAATTTTAAATGACAGTTCAATTTACAGAATTAGTTTACAATGAGAGAAAAAAAACTATGCAGAACTAAACTATATATACAAAATTTAATGATGATATTTCAGTTGAAAATATAGAAAATAATAATAATAAGCCATATTAATTGTATTCGTTTGGCACCTAATAATAAATACAATTTATTTTTCCACATATTAATATTTAAATAATTTAACTTAAATCAAATTCTAAACATTTTCTAAATTTTCATTCCATACAGTTTTCCCTTAACATATAGCCCAAACAAAGTAATTTAAGTAAAAAAAGAGGCACATTTCTGAAATCAGAAGACGGGAAATTTGCTTCATGCAGTCATCCTTTAACAGTAAAAGCTTAACTAACCCGCATACTAGGAAATTCCCAAATATTCCGGATAGTAACTGGAAAAAGAACAAGAGCAGGGAGATTGTAGCCGTTCTTTAGATTTAAATTTCGGCTAAATACAATTATTTTGACATTTCGATATGTGCATCATATAAACATAGACCAACGGAACTGAGAAATATTCTGCTTAGAAAGCACAGTAAAAGTCTTTTAAGTGTTCATAACAAATCTCAGACTGAACATCAAAATTAATTATCAATCAGCAAAATACCGGCAAACGTTATTGCGCAATACGTGCGGCGTAATTCTTGCACATGTGATTATTACGCAATCGGAATCAACACCTGCCAGTATTCGGAGAATAAAGAACTAAATAAAGGAAAAGAAAGAGACTTACTAATCTGGGGTGTTTCTGATTCTAATTTTCAACAGACTGTATTAAATTTCCGAAATAGAATCAATCTTCGCTTGGGTTGGGTAGACCGCAAAACTTTTAGTCCTATTCAATCCAGATTGGACAATGACAAAAAAAAAAAAGTCCGCTGCTTCAATATTAGAGATTTTGCAGAGAAACTCCCAACCTCCATACTGTATAATGTATTGGCAAAGAAAATGAAATTATTTTGACTATTCGATTACTTTCCTTTTATTTAAGCCATTCCGAATATTATTCCTTAGAAAGCTAATCTGTGTAAAAACACACCCCATTTCTGAAAGTTTATCTATACTTCAGCAGTTACTGCAACTATATTATTATAAATATTCATACATATGCTCATAATATAAGCATAACGATCACAATAAACACGAATATGAACTGACCACGCGGAACGAGAATGCAAATTGTTAAAATCTTGATAGAAATTCAAACGTGTGTAGTATTTGGGTGGGAGGAAAAGAATACCAAATGTACCGGAATTTTCTACCGTTTTCGCAATTCTTTGGCCAATAGAACGACGTGCACCTGTCTGTACTCTCGCGCGGAACATAGGTAACATAGGTTACGTTAATGCAGAGGAAGGGGGGGAGAAAAGCAATTTCCGGAAGTATGAGTCACCATCTGACGTTGCATATAAGAAAGAAAAGTTGTTTATTTAGTTGTTTGCTTTGTACGGGGGGAAAAATGCGCGTTCATTAAAAACAAAGGATTAAAAAAAAAGCATTAAAAGCAAAAAATAAGCACTAAAAACAAAAAAATAAGGGCTTTAAAGAAAAAGTAAGCACCTATAAGGGCCTTTATATTTTATTTTCAAATATAAGGACTTATAAGCACTTGTAAGGACTGCTACGAACCCTGATAAAGCAAAGCCCTGTTGAGTATTTTCTTCAATTATTGTGAGTTTCTCTCTGTGATGTTGTGGGATAGAAATCACAAGAGACCTCATTATGGTATTTAAATTAAAAATTAAAATTTGGCAGCTGCATGATAACAATGCAACTCTATATTCTTCATATGTGATTTAGGCTTTCTTGGCTAAACATACTTCTCTTGTTTATCAGTCACCCTATTTTCTCAACATAACTCTTTTCAATATATGGATGCTCAGTTCAAATGCTACTGAAAGGGACGAGTCACGAGATGGATTATGTGCAATATGGCAGCCCATCTACATTCTTACACAAACCTTCCAAATATTTCTAATGCAATACATAGAATGCATTTCAAAAGTTCATCTTGAAGGCACACAACTACTGCTTGCATGTTGAGTGCTCTGAGAAACTGCAATCAAAGGGCCACACAGAGCAACATTACAGATCCCACTGCCCCCCCCCATTCTTCAATGCTCATGACAACAAATATCTTATCTGTATAACTGTTGAGTATAGTACTGTTACATCTTATACCAAGGGCCAGGAAATTGGGTATGTTGAACAGCACCAAATATCCCACATACAGTATGATTATGTATACAATGCCATGAATTAGCAGTGAGGCAATCATTGTTTCAAACTACAATACTGTGTTTAATCACATGCATGGTTGCATCAATAGTAGCAAGAAGACATCAAGCAGAATGAAAGCTGGTTTCCTTCATCCTAATAATGGTCCAGCACCCAGATTGATGCAAGTTGTCACTGGTTTACATGTTCTGTTCATGTTCATTTGTATATCTGGTATGCTGACCAGGCACCATTACATTACTGAGGTTTTAATGCTTGTAGCTGTACTAAACATTTAGGATGCTGTTGTTCCCACTTTCAATGGGGCAATGCAAGGCTGCATTGTCTTATGTTTCTTCAATATAGGGCTCCTGCTTCAGCTAGCATTCTTTGGATGTCACAAAATGGGAAAAAAACAATCATTCACGGTTGCAGAGAGAATGGCACAAGAACGCTCACTAGCCAGATGAGCTCTAACATACAGCTGAAGTCACATGAACTGAATATTCATAACTGCAAGCTAAAATCTATTCAATTCTCTTCCAAATTATATAAAAGCTGTACTTTCGCCAGAGATGTATGGAGTACTGATTTCTGCAGATTCCGTACCTCAATCTTTTTTTTTTTTGAAGTTTTAATCCTTCTATTATAAGGTATTTAAAAAAAATTATATGATTCTACTAGCTGTTTTTCTTCATGGTAGAGCAATTTTGATGGTCAGGAGTGTATAAGAAGAAGAAAATTGCTTCGAAGTTGCAATTGCAGAATTGCGGTTGTGGGGGAGGAGCTCTTTTGGTGAGATTTTGGTAGACAATTCTCAACACACAATCTACAAGCATAGAAAAATTTAGCTGAGCTTTTTTTCAATAATATTGAAGTTACCTTGTGAAAATCTTCACTTCTTGTAGTGGTACTGTGGTTTAGCCATGATAATGCAACTCCAAACACATTTTCTTCTTTCTCAACATTCAGAGAATCACTAGATATAAATTCAATAAATTTACTTTGGGACAGCGAGAGAATTTCTTCATGTTTCATCACATCACGGAAATACCTGCAAAATATACACAAAAATTAAATAACGTGTACAATGAATATGCATATAACATTTAAAAGCATACAAATTCCACTACTGATGGTTGATGATAAGTTTCATAAAGCAGTTAATGACTGATAACGATATAATGAGTGATTTGTATGACAAAAATTTTGTAATAGATGTCCTTCAATACTGCGCCAGATTTACAAGGATACAAAATTTTGCATCATGAAAAAACACATTTAAAAGTTTGACTTGGACTTAATTTTGAGAAAATCAATTTATGACTTGGATCATCCAGCAACTTTTATATTCATCACACTGAATGTGTATTTTTCTGCCTTACTAAAGCTTAAAACAGAAAAAATAACATAAAAACCGATGTAAATAAAAACAACAAATCACAGATTTGAGTCTTGGCAAAGTTCTAATAATAAAAATTTTTTTTAAAGAACTGAGGTAAAAGAACATCTTGATTTTGAGAGCAAAATTAAGATCTGTCACATTGGTATCTTTAAAATAACAATTTTGAACTTTTTAAATAGAAGCTGAATACTTGTGGATCTTTGAAGCAACTGTGATAATCTACCTACATTGGTAAGCATACAAACCGCTGATACGGTAACCCTCATCTTTTCCATATTGCCTTCCCATTTGCCTCTTGTTTTTACATGTTAGCTTCTTGAACTCTAAATTTTTGTTAGAATTTTAATCCCTCCGATTTTTTAAATCTATATTTCACTCAAATATTATTAAACTATATTTTTTAAAAACACAGTAGAGAAGAAGATACTCGCATATTATCCCACTGATCATGAAACTATTGCCAGGCAGTGCAATTTAGTGTTAGTTAGGGATAAGTATGATACAACACACTCATAACATCTGTGCTCTCATTTAATGTAGCCCACTTGATTCTCAATAAGCCACATTTTGTTTTTATGAATAAAGAATTATTATTGTTGTATTTTTTCCATGCATTTTGAAAAAAAATTGATTAAAATTTAAGAACTGCTTCCTACATAACAGCAAACAGTGGTTCATTTTAAAAGTTACAGGATCCTACCATCAAAGAAAGTGTGCATTGATGGACATGAATGGTCAGCCGAATATGGCCGACGAAACAGTAATAGACTGAAAAATTACCTGCAGGAAATTTGTACTCGTAGCATTCCAAACAGAATTACATGTAAAACTGGAGGACTTAACAAAATAGTAGAAACTGAGAAAGCTTTTTAGGAAGGGCCAAAAACAAAGTAGATAAAATACTGACTGTTTATTACATAAAGTCATTAGTTCCCTCAGAATTCCAGAGAAATGATTGAGATAATTTTGGCTAGTCAACAGAATAATACATAGGAATCAAGAAGACTAATCCATTCTATAATCAACAGAAAAATGCTAGTAACAATTTAATTATATTTTGATACAGTTTAATCATAAGAATAAGTTCATTTGATCAACATTCCTAAATAACAAGACATTATCTGCAGTTACTGCTGTTATCCCATGCACTATTAGTTTTTCCATTTTAGACAGTTTTGTTTTATACTGATGGTTTGTGACAGCACTGTTTCCAATGGTTACATATCAGCATAAACATCTTAATACAAGTTCTCTGATTTTTTTTTAAATGCATCAATTTCTGGTAACAACATGCATAATAATTCTCCACTTGAAACAAACAATATTGCTATTTTTGTACATGTTTGTTGTATTGTGTACCATATTCCACTATATTTCATAAATAAATAATCATTTTTTTTTTAAATTTACTTTTAAATTATGTGTCTGTGAAATTGGACATTAAAATTTTGCCAGAAATGACATTAAAATTTTGGCAGAAATATGGTAGCTCACCACAAAATATTTAAAGAGATCTATTGTTCTGAATTCTCAAAGTAACCACCATGAAATTCGCAGCAGAACAAAAGAAACAAAACATTTCATAAGAGCAAAAACATGCATAAATAGGTTTATCCAGCGATTTTGTGATAAATATCTAAATTGACTTCAAATAAGTATGTAACGTAAAAGCTTGACTATACAGAAAGCTCAGGAAATGCTGAATTCCAGATATGCAAAAATTCTGGATAAGTGAGTAATTAAAAAGATAAATTAACAGTAGAAAAGCAAACGGGGGAGAGGGGGAATGCCAGACTAAAATTATGAAAAGAATTATTTTGTTTGTTATCAGCTTGAATATCAAACATCTGCATTTAAATTATGCAAGATACCAAAAATATCAAACGAAATAGGGCATTCCAGACAGACACACCAAAGTATAACATCATAATCAATTACAAAATTCCACTGGCCATGAAAATTGGCGATCTAGCCAAACTTGCACCAGTCATTTCAACAGAAATTTGAAGGAACAAATTAACTCTTCATTTAGTTAATCAACATATACAAGTTATGGGCAAAGCATATAAAAAACTTCAATAATTTTTGCACAATGCACAGCCAGCATTTATCCATTTTCCCATAAGTCAGACTTTTTTTTATGCCAAGACTCCATAAATTTGAAATACTCTATTGCATGCTGTTTTATTGAAGATAAGTCGCAAATTTTGACCACTTTATCAAAATGCGATTAAACATTACGTCACATTTGTTCATTATTAGCACTAAATCACATTGTCTGGTAACAGTTTTTGTTTCATTCAAATCATAGTTCTGTTCGTGCTTTATAACAAAGTTACAAATCTTTTATTTCCTTAATTTTACATAGAAAAGTTTTAAGATTTGAAAATATTCTGGTTACTTGAGCTTTCCAGTTAGTTGAATACTGGATAACTCATTTTTTACTGTAATATGTGTGAATATAATAAATAATCTTCAATTTTAAATTATCACTATCTTTTTCCTTCCTGTAAAAAATCGCCAAACAATGCCAAAATGATAACACTAAGTACTCTTTTTCCACACTTCTGCAACAATTTTTTTTTTTTTTTTTTTTTTTTTTTTTTAGATACAGCCCAGATTAATATGGTTAATCTGCACCCTCAAATTGAGATTTGACTGTTAATTATATTTTAGCAAATGAGCAACTTATTAAAATAGTTAATGTTTATATACCACATATTACAGTAGGCATTGCTTAATGTGATCAAGTTTATTCAAGGCTTTTTTGATAGCATTTAATGATGAAAAAAATATTCTTCAAAATGGCAATGGAATTTAACTAATTTATTATAAAAATATCAAGTAAGTATTTTCATTGTATTTTAATTAGGAAAATTCAAAAATTTGTTTATGAACTGTTCTTACCATTTCTAGAAAGTATTCAACAGATGTCTTAATATATGGAAAGCATCCCTCACTGAAAGAGAATATGTCACAGAAAAATTTTAAATTAAGAAAAAAAGAAACCTTTGGTCCAATTTTAGTTGGCTGATTAAAATTGAAACGAAGCTGTTTGGCAACTTAACCCTTTACTTGGTGCCATTTCTCTGTCACTTGGTAATTTTTATAATAATTTTGATCTTATGTAGAAAATTAGCTTTTATTTGCTGACTTTACTTCAGTTAAAAAAATATATTCTGTAATACTTTGATCTATTAATCGATCACTGATTACAATAAATGATGTAAATGGGCACAACTTCAACAAAATGATATTGATATCTGAATGATAACATCAACCATGATCGCATTAAGCGGTGTCTACTGTATTTTAGAAGCTTTAACCCTTTCTGGCACACCCGAAAAATTCCCTTTGTACACACTCAAAAACTGAATGGAAAAGGCTTTATAGATTACTACAGGTTACTTTTAACCTTTTTTATTTATATTAGATGGAAGCACGACACAAACCATTCCATACATTTTACCTATATTTTTACCAGTTATCTTTTTTTCATTTGCTTTCGCTGAAAGAAGTTTTGTTAGCTATATGTTTTGATATTTTTGAGTTGTAGATGTTTATTTAATTTTATTTTACAGTTTACATTTTCTTAATTGTAAATATTACTTTATATTTTTTTCTGATTTTTAATTATTTTGCAAATGAATCAGAGAGGGCTGACAGTTTCTGAAGCACTGAAAGTGCAAAACGAAGTGCCTTCAGATAGTGAATCCAATACAGATCCCGGTACATGTGCAAAACATGCAGTGTGAGTTGTGCTTTTTCAAAGGTGGTGTCTGTTAGATATTAATTACTTTACTTGCCGTTAGATGGCAGTGCCTCTAAACTGACTAGCTAGGCAAGTGCACGGTGTTTGTGCTGCGTCACACTCTCGTCGCTTGTCGCCAACCATGTAGCATCAATGTCTATCTTATGTATAAGTAATCTAATTTAATCTTATAAATAAACAGTAATTTATCTATGTTTGATGAGTCAACATATATAACATGGTATCAGAGTCAACCATGCTCACGAATTTGATGCATAAATTAATATTTTAAGGATTACGTGCATTTGAAAAACTTGGAATAAAAAATGGCCCATAACCTGCCCACGTTGTCACCGTTTGACGCTGGATTGAACCCTTTTGAAGCTTGGAGACACTGGAAGGAAGAGGACGATATCGAGGCATTAAGATATAGCCAAGAGTCGGAAAGCATGAAAACTGTGCCTTTTTCGACATGTTTGTGGTGACGAATTAAAAAAGCAATATCGATCGTTTGACTTGAAGCCAGAAGCGGGCAGCAGTGAAGTGTCCTTGAAACAAGTGCTACAAGGATTCGACAAATATTTCGCAGATTAACAGAATGAGATTTATACATCATTCAAGTTTCTGGAACTAAAGCAAGAGAAAGGAGAGAAATTCATGGAATTTTACTCAAGGCTAGGATGTGCAATAGTAGATTGCAACTATGGGCAAGCGAAAGATAGAATGCTCCGTGACAAAATAGTGCAAGGCATCTCAGATAAAGCGTTACAAGAACAGCTAATATGAGAGACAAATAGAGCGAAAAAGATGCTGCAGAATATCATCAGTGAATGCAAGGCGGCTAAACATAGCAAAGCACAAGCCACTAAAATGAACGAGAACAAAATCTCAGTAGATGCCCTCAGAAAAAACAAACATCGATCAAATCCCGCACAGATAACGCAAGTAAAAGAGTGCAAGCGATGTGGGAGAAAACATGAGCCAAAGAAGTGCGCCGCGTTCAGAACGGTCTGCCGAAAGTGCGGTGGGAAAATCACTGGGCGAAAATGTGTCGCGCCAAACCAAAACAGAGAGTGCACACCGTTGAATGTACAAAGATAGCAACTCGTTTATTTACCTAGGGAAAGTAAAAACTGTTGACACGGTGGATTCAAATAAAGCATCAGTCTGGTACCAAAAAATCACTGTAAATAAGAATGAAGTGAACTTCAAATTAGATACTGGAGCTCAAATTAACATGCAAGAGTGAATTGTTAATGCCCAAGAGTGAATTGTTAAAGCGGAGTGAGAAACCAATAATTAAGAAAAATAAACAACCAGTACTGGGTTATAGTGACAACCAAGTACCAATATTAGGTGAGTGCTACCTTACATGTAAAACTAAAAAAAAATGACAAAAAATGTCAAATTTCTGGTAACCATCTGGAATCATCTCCTATTTTGGGTCTTTAGGCTTGCCAAGACTTGGTTCTGATTGAAAGAGTGTATCAAGTCAAGCAGGAAAAGAAACAAAATGAAAGACACCAGAGCAAGTGATACAGAAATTTGCAGATGTGTTTACTGGTGTGGGAAAACTAAATCACATGGTAAAGATAAAATTAAAAGAAAATGTCACACCTCGTAAATGCCACTTGCTTTGCACTAAAAGTAAAGCCGGAGCTAAACAGAATGGTTAAACTGGTATCATAGTGAAAGTTGATGATTCTACAGAATGGGTGAGCAACATGGTTGTGATAAATACGCCAAAGAAATTGAGAATTTGTTTAGATCCAAGGCAGCTTAATGAGGCTATTCAAATACCTCATTATCCAGTTTTTATGACAAAACTCCAAGGATGTAAAGTATTTACAATTCTGGATGCCAAGAATGGATTTTGGCAACTACCGCTTGATGAGGAGTCATGATACTTGACAACATTTACAACGCCCTGGGGAAGATTCAGATTTTTGGTTCTTCCTTTCAGTCTGAACAATGCACCTGAGGAATTTCAAAGGGCCATGGAGGGGATTTTTAGCAATGAGAACAAGATAAATCCATATTTTGATGATTTAGCCCTAGGATTGTCGTCTGTTGAAGAACATTGCAAGTTGTTGTGGAAGATACTTACGATAGCCAGAAGTGCTAATCTAAAATTTAATCAATATCAGAATATAGTAATCAGAATATAGTGTTTTTAATTGTAGCAAAATTTTTTATTCTATTATGCACTTCCGAGAAATGCTTGTTTCAGCACTCTTTTTGAAGTTCTGTTCATTCAATGAGCCCGCTTCGAGCACACTCAAATAAAACGGTAAGTACTATCTTTACAGAATTTTACGTGTATACTCCTCTAGACCTGTTTAGACTTTTTTTTTTTTTTTTTCCCACCTTTGATTGAAATTCTAACTTTAGAAGGTAGCATGCCGGAAAGGGTTAACAAAATATAACTTCAAATATTGCATTTGAATCATCGATAATAAGAATTATATTATTATCAACATCTGTTAATTTGCGAGTTTGGTGCACAGTACCATAAAGCAAAGTCTTTAGCTTTCTGTTGTAAGTCCTCACAAGCATGAGCTTCAGCAAAACAGTGTATGCCTAAGCAATTCGTCTCATCCATGTGTTTTTCCAAAAACTGACAACAGGCATCTCGAACTGGAAGTACTTCTAACAGATTGGCAGCAGACAGCAATGCCTGTACATTTTGTTTGTTGATTGGAACTGTAGCTGAATATGCATAATCCAAAAGGAGTTTTAGTGTAGTTGCTTCAACTCCATTGAGCACTATCTCTTTCTGTTGGCTCTCAGCCATTTCGCTTGTAAACATGGCCTAAAAAGTAATCAATGATTACTGTAAATTCATAAATATAATGCATAACACAGATTATAAAGAAAACAATAAAGCAGGGGATAACTGATTAAAAAATATTTAAATATCTTATATAATTCAAGAACAGTCCTTTGATTTAAAACCATAAAACTGGTAATAAACTGTCAAATGTCATTAGTCTTTATTTATCATTATCTTGCATCATCATGGCAACCTTTCAGCTGGGGCTCTTCTTTACTTTCGAATTTAAAATTATTCTGCTTGGGTTTTCTCTTTGGTAATTTTACTTATAAACTTTAAGGTGATTTTTTTTTTTTTTCCGTTTCCCCCCCCCAGTTCAGGTGTTTATACTTGTAAAGCATGAACATATCCTCACAAATTTACCATCACCTGTTTTTTCTTCCATTGGAAGAAATAAAATGCAGAAAAATTTTGGAATAAATAATTGAAATACTTTGGATTCTGTGGCCATTAGAGCAAAGCCATAAAAGTGAAAATCATATCAAGCTCTACTTTGTAACCAAAAAAAGAAGCAGAGTAAAGAACTTTAATAAAAGTGAAGGCTACCTCTTCATCCTAACATATTATTTTACTAGAACAGGAAAATTTTATATATGTGGTTCACTAATTCAATTCAAGATTTTTTAGTCATTAATAAAAATAAAAGACAAGTAATGTCTCTAAATGGTGCAGACAAGGACTAATTGTTTCAAACTGCAAACAAAAAATGCTTGGTTTACTAAAATGACAGAAAATTGTGGAGCACTCAATCGTTATTATCGGAAAGTTACAAATTTATTTATTACTTATAAAAAGTTTTTTTGGTCTTATTTGAATGAATTTGGGGCGCAGGAAGTACAAAGTGAATAAATAAATGGAAAAACTGTATTCTGTTTTTCAAAGTACATTAAAAATTTTTACAAGATCCTGCAGATCAAGAAACAAATCAAATGCAAGATTTTATTTGTGTTTATCTCATTCTTAATTGCTATTTCTTATATTTGAAATTCTTTTGATAGATTGCTCTTTTGCAGAATTGCTAATGAGGTGCCATTTTGAAAGCTGTTTTTACCCTTGGAGAAAATCCTTGAATGTTATAAGGGGTAAGCCATTCTGGTAATAACCTAAATACTTAAAATAAAGAAAAGGAAACGATACAATAAAAGTTTAAAATCTTGAATCCTAAAATAAGAAAACTTTTGATGTTAGAAATAATCATAAACTTGAGATTTAAAAAAAAAAAAATTTCTTTAAAGTTAAAAAAGGAAGGAAAGAGGAAGAGAATTTTTCCCCCCGATGTTAAAGTATTTTATTCAAAAAATACACTGGTTCACATAACAAAGGAATGCATGGACCAAAAAATATCCCACAAAACAAAGTTGGTTTTATTTTATGAACTGTGTTATTACAGTGAAGATAAATGTACTTTACTTACCACAAAATATAATTTTATTGATTCTGATACTGTCACGTGCGATATACAATAAATATTAATGTGAAATTAGTTGCCATCATTTAGATTTATGTCTCATCAAATTTTTATGGCAAAATATGCATCAGAATATACAAATGTTCCTGGCAGTATTTAAATGAAATCAGCAGCTTTATACCTCCGGTGAAAAGTGAAATTAATGGGGGAAAATCTATTTTGATTTTAGTTTTTATTTTTGTCTGGCACTTTCCGACTGCATCCCCACCAAAAAAATTGCAAATTTGTTGCCGACTTTGGATGGCATTCGCAAACTTGAAAGTTTTCATTCATTCATTTGAAGAAAGAAACATTCATTTGCATATGCTCGAGTCTACTTCAATGATACATCAAGCTATGCAGCTAAATTTAACATTTATGATTCTTAGAGGGTTAAGCAACTGAAAATCTAAGAGCAAAAATTGTTCATTTGTTAATTGTTGCCTATTCTTCTGTTTATTCATTGATCGACTGATTATTATTCTCCTTATTTGCAATGACATTAATGCATAGTTACATGTGATATAATCTTTAATGAATTTAAGGTTATAATCTTTAATGAATTGTATTTGGTGCCACATGAATTTGATTAGATAGAAACCAATGCTACATTAATAATTATTTGGCGATATCGCACACAGTATAAGAATCAGTAAAGTTGTACCTGTGCTATTTATGTTTGACAAATATAAACTTGTCCATTTAATCTTCCAAGTGTTATGGGTTTTGCCTTGAAATTTCGAAATTCCCCAAAATATCATGAATAAATGCTATTTTCTTGATTATAATACCAAGATAACCTCTCACTTTGTACCCTGAATTCTTTTCTTCCAATACAGATCCATCCCGAAATTAGATTGATCAGAAACGTTTCTGTGTAACAAATCATACTATCTGTCAATAAGGAATAAAACTCCATAAGGGTTATGGACATAAAATTCCTTATATGTTCATAAGCCTTGGAGGGTTAAGCAACTAAAAAACAAACTAATTATCAATTCATTGATTGTTGTTCATTCTTCTGTTTTCTTGATTGATTGATTATCATTCTCCTGCTTATTTATAATGACATTAATGCATTGCTATTTGTCATGTGGTATAAACAAGTTATCATACTTGGTGTTTTAAACACCATTATGATCGGTGCCTCATTAGTAGAAAATAATCAGAATATCTTTATTGCTGTGCATTTATTTATTCACTTTGTATGCACACAGGTAATTTTTTAAAATTCTCCTTTTCCCACACAAGACATGGACTATTCTTGGACGAAATTACGCAAACTGATACCTGTGTTCTTCACAGAATTCAACTGACATATATTCCTTGGTCCAACAATAAATCAAGTGAATAGCTAACACAAATGAGATATGGCTATATTTGCCTCCAATTTTTCACACTGTGTTTCCATAAAATTTTATTGTTTAAGAAACACAACTTTGCAAACCACAAATTTCTACACTCTCTATTGCTAGATAAAAAAACATATTTCTAAAGAAATGCAATGCTTACTTTTTCCTTTCTTTTCCTCTCTCTCTTTTTTTTTCCCCCTCAAATTCCACAAGTTCGATAAAATTTATTATAATAAAAACAAATGCTAATCAGAAAAATTGAACAAAATTATGACTGCCGCCCTGTCATCAGAAAATAATCAAAATATTGTTACAAATTTTGTACATATATGGGTAATTTTAGTCAAATTATATATGAAATTGTTATATTTTTTCTGTATAATGCAACACAAAAATCTAACAGGAGGATGCTTTGCCAGAAAAATTACAGTGGCAAGTAAATGTAGTAAATAGCTATCTCACTAATTTGCCAAGCTGGCAAAGGTTTCGGTGACTAATTTTTTTGGCCAAATTTGGCAACAAATCACAAAAAGTCGCCAATGACCATTTGGTGCCATTTGGGTCTAGTCCTTGTATCATAGTAATAGGTACTGTAACTGAATAACTAATTGTTTTCATATACAGTCAAAAGTCGTCAATCCGGACTCGTCGGAATTTCGGCGATTCCGGATTATCGATTTTTCCGGATTATAGATCATCAGTTTAAATCTGGCAGGATGGCATTCAGAAATTACAAAATTAAAAATATGAAACGTAATTTATGAAATAAAGAACAATTATGATCTAAAGGGTATCAAAATTTACAAAAAGAAAAAGCTTAATATTTATTTGTTTACTTTATCAAACATTTCTTTCAATGTAAGTTGTTTAAGTTGCTTCGTTTCATGTGATAATACTTTCTCTTTAATTCTATTAAACAGACATAATTTCTTGTTTAGTTAAAAAGTTCCGCTGTTCAAGTTCTATAATTGCTGTGTCGAGAATACCGACTAATTTGTCAATCGAAATTTGTTCATTTTCAATAACCTCTGTCACTTTCTTCACCATCGGAAGCGAATTATAATGACGAGGAACTTGTTTTAAATCATATCAAAGACGGAGTACATCGAGATGAAATACTACATTTAGTAAGGAATTATAAGCCAAATAAAATAAAAACACCTGCCCTGAAGATAAGGATATTGCTGACAGATCAACTTCCAATTCATTGCGCGCCGCTGTGTTCTCCCCGCTGAGCAGTGTGAAATTGTTAATCAGATTTCGGATTTCGAAACATACTTTCGCTTTAGATCCTTTACATATGAGAAAATATATATCAGAAATTCTATTTGATATAATCGAAAGTTCAAGCTTACTTTTATAAAATTGCTCTAACAGTCTGCAAAAAATAATAAGCCAGATCCAATTCGAAGATTAAGGAACAACGCAATCTGCAACATTAACTGAGTTAGATAATTTTAGCTTAGTTTATACCGTCCGTTATACATTAAACGCGCATACGTAAATGTTTTATGCGCATACGCATATTTGCAGCCGTAAAGGTCTTACGCGCACACGTAGACGCCTATGCGCATGCATCAACGCGACGCATGCACAGAAAGTTTGTAGCTTTGAGGTCCGGATTATGGGTGTCTGAATTAACGACTTTTGACTGTAATAACTGTAACTGTATCCATCCCTCATACGCCTTCCAATAATTTCGAGAAGCAGAAAGTGCTATAAATACCTCTGCGGCCAAGTGAAAACTATACAAAGCCGGAGAGAGCATCTTCCCTGAGTTGTTGTTATGAGCTGTTGCTTCAGAGCGATTTCAGAGTATTGAAGACTTCATCACTTAGATGCGCTTTGCTTACATTGTGTTTAATGTTCTTAGTTATTTGAAGCATAACTACTGATTGTACTCATATACTGTGAACCCTTATGTGAGTATTTCTGTGGAATGTTCCAGAACTCTGAACTGTTTCTTTTGATAAAATAAATTTTATCTACTGATCATCAGTGTTGTGTGCTTTCAACATGTACGCACACAAAAATATGTTCATTGCTGCTCATTTATTTATTCACTTCATATGTGCAGAGGTAATTTTTTTAAATTCTCTTTATCCCACACAAGACATGCAATATTCTTGGAGGAAATTACACCAACTGATAGTTGTCTTCTTCACAGAATTCAAATGACA